ATGTATTTATTTCTACTAGTTATCGCCCAATTGTAAATTGCGACCATAAATCTTTTAAATTATAGTTAATATGGCTAGCAACCAACTCTGTTGTTGGCTCCATGTAGATGGGATGGGGTCAGCATGTCTGAACAGGTTGCATCCCATATTAGTTTATTCTCAATTTGACACATGTCAAATACGCGTGTATAATTTTTATGCATTTCTACAGCACAAGAGACAAATGAGCTTGCGGCTCACCTGATGATAAGTGATGGGAAGTAAAGCAGTGTGCTAAACTGCTAGACCACAGAGGTCGTCAAATAGTTAGTCATATCTTTGTTCTATTATCACATTCACAAGGCAAATGTAGAATCTGGGCTGATAGATACTCTTTTTTTTATATATAACACAGGGGACAAACGAGCTTGCGGCTCACCTGATGGTAAGTGATTACCGCCGCCCATGAGCACCCGCAACACCAGGGGAATTGCAAGTACGTTGTCGGCCTTTTAAAAAGGAATAAGCTCTTTTCTTGAAGGTTTCAATATCGTATCGGTTCGGAAATACCATTGCTGGAAGGTGATTCCACAATGTGGTTGTGCGAGGCATAATTTTAAAGAAATTTTGGCATACCACACTCAATCTCTATGAATTTACAAAGAATGTATGTATTATAAAGTACATATATATAAGTTAAATTTTATATTATTTTTTTTATTTTATTATCATTTCTTCTTTATTAATTTCCATGTATTTATATCAGTTATCTAGTACCCATAACACAAGCTCTGCTTAGTTTGGGACTAGATGGCGCTGTGTTAATTGTACTGAGGTATAATTATAATTCCTTATTTAAATAAACATTATTTACAAAACACTGAATATCAACAAACTCATCATCATCATCATCATCGCAGCCCGGAAGACGTCCACTGCTGGACATAGGCCTCCCACAAAGATGTCCACAACGATCGGTCCTGCGCTGCTCGCATCCAATGCCTTCCAGCAATCTTGACCAGATCGTCGGTCCACCTTGCTGGAGGCCTTCCCACGCTGCGTCTTCCGGTCCGTGGTCCCCACTCGAAGACTTTACTGCCCCAACGGCCATCTGTCCTACGAGCTGTGTCCTGCTCATTGCCACTTCAGAGTCGCAATTCTTCGGGCTATGTCGGTCACTCTGGTTCTTCTGCGGATCTTTTCATTTCTGATTCGATCAGAGTAACTCCGAGCATAGCCCTCTCCATAGCCCTCTGAGTGACTCTGAGCTTGTTCATGAGGCCCATAGTTAGCGACCACGTCTCTGTTCCGTAAGTCATCACTGGCAACACACATTGGTCGTAAACCTTCGTCTTGAGACACTGCGGAAATTTGATCGAAAAGATATATCGGAGCTTCCCGAACGCTGCCCATCCGAATTGGATTCGACGATTGACCTCTTTCTCGAAACAACCAACAAGCTATATATATATAGAAACAACAACTATATATACATATATAAACTTTTATTCTATATACAGTGGACCCGCGGTAATCCGGCCCCTGTCTAATCCGGCCCCCCTTGTAATCCGACATTGTCTATTATTTGTTATTGAATATTACTTTGACAATATACTTCAGAGTGCATATACATACATACATATATAACATAGAATCTTATCACTGGATCTGTAATTTGTCGGATTACAAGATACTCTTTTGTAAAAAATTCCGGACTATAAGCAGAGGACCCTTAAGCAGCACTCTATAATCCGACAATACGATGGTCCGACACTGCCCTGCAAAACGTTTGTCGGATAACCGGGGGTCCACTGTATATGTATATAATATAAAGAATCATCATTGGATCTATAATTTGTCGGATTACAAGGTACTCTTTTGTAAAAAAATTCGGACTATAAGGGGTCTTAGGCAGTACTCTATAATCCGACAAATTCGATAGTCCGACACTGCCCTGCAAAATGATAGTCGGACTACCGGGGGTCCACTGTATACATATAGAATAAAAATAATTATGAAACTGCAAACGCACAACAATTCATTCGTGAAATACAATTATCTATTTGACTCACTGCAATCTTCCACATGTTTATACCTATTTAGCAAGATCTTAATTAATTAATATATCTTAATCAACTGACAATAAGTAGTTAACAATCTGAGAGACGAAACTTATATATCAAACTACCTACCCACCCCGGCTTCGCACGGGTGTACAATGTACATGTATTATACATATAAACCTTCCTCTTGAATCACTCTATCTATTTAAAAAAACCGCTTCAATATCCGTTGCGTAGTTTTAAAGATTTAAGCACACATAGGGACAGACAGCGACAGCGACTTTGTTTTATAGTATACTGTCTAATCGCCCCGGCATCACGCGAGTGTTCCACATATAAACCTTCCTCTTGAATCACATATAAAACTCAAAATCCCGTAGTTTTAAAGATTTGACATCTTTGTTTTATAGTATACTGTCTAATCGCCCCGGCATCTATGTTCCACATATAAAAAAACCTATCTATTTTAATATCCGTTGCGTAGTTTTAAAGATTTAAGCACACATAGGGACAGACAGCGACAGCGACTTTGTTTTATACTATGTAATGATTCTCGTATCACAATGTTATTTTTATACATAATATTTGCATATTAATATTATGAAGTGTGTCTGTCTGACTGTTTATATGTATTACCTTTTCGGGTCTAAACGACATAAAACTGACGAAGTGGCAGGTCATCGGAAAGTGGCCAATTTAAACCAGCTTGGTGGACTGGCTTCCGGAGAGAGGCAGGGACCCCAAAGTTCCAAAAAATCTTAAAATATTAGACTACATCACTATATACTCTGTTTTTTTCTAATTTATATTGTCTTATATAATGTGCATTATATATCTGTTGATGTAAATAATAATAATAATAATCTCAGGACAATTCACACAGCGCCATCTAGACCCAAGGTAAACAAGCTAAAGCTTGTGTTATGGGTACTAGTTAACTAGTATGATTGTTTGTGTCTGGGTGTTTTATATGTATAATATGTATGTATTTAGAAAAAAAAATCTATATATTTGTTTCAGTTGTGTAGTACCCATAACACGAGATTTAGCTAGCTTAACTTGGGTCTAGATGGCGCTGTGTGAATTGTCCTGATATACACAGCGCCATCTAGACCCAAGTTAAGCTAGCTAAAGCTTATGTTACGGATACCAGATAACTGATACAAATACATTTTTTTAATTATTATACATAGAAAACACCCAGACAATCATACTCATGACGAATACAAATGTGACCTGGTGCGAGGATTGGATCGAACGATCCGCGACCATCGGTGCGATGATGATGATGATGATGACATAGAAAACACCCAGACAATCATACTCATGAATACAAATGTGCCGTGCGAGGAATCGAACCCGCGACCAACGGACGTAAAACGGTGTGCTCGACCGCTAGACCATCGAGGTCGTCAGTAAAGTAAATAAGTAAAGTGAATAAATGAATACGCAGTAATTATTCGGGACACAACTAAGTAATTATATATGAACTATACACACGGCAATAAAATAGTAATCATAATAATAAGCAATTCGTGAGTTCATTGACGGCCTGCATTATAGCGCGCGCCCGCGGCCTCGCTTGCAATAAACTCATCTATTTCCATTCTGAGCGGCCGTATTGCAAATAACTTATAACTGCGTTCCAGATCATTAATATGAGGTCAGTGCAAGTAATCTATACATATAATAAAATTGGAGTGTCTGTTTGTAATATTGAAATAACCGTTTTTTACTACATGCATATGAATATAAATACGGTATATACACTAAAATAACAATTTTTGTCTGTCTGTCTGTTTGTTCCGGTTAATCTGAAACGGCTGGACTGATTTTGATGGGACTTTTACTGGCAGGTAGCTGATGTAATAAGGAGTAACTTAGGCTACTTTTACCTTAGAAAAATAAAGTTATTTCCCATGCGGACGAAGTGATGAGTCTTCACGGCGAGCCCTCATGGGACAAGCTGAGAATGGAATGCAAGTAGCATGTAATTTTTGCTTCCATCTCGCACCCGTCCTTCAGTAATTGTGTCACCTGTCATAAAGTGCAACTAATATACATAAAATGAACATCCAAATATTTTACAATATATTGTTTTATAAGTCAAATGGTGATTGGAAATATTAAAAGTCCTGCTCCTATGCACCTCGGTGGTCTAGCGGTTGAGCACACTGTTTCATAAACGTTCGTCGTGGGTTCTATTCCGGCGGATTAAATTATTTTCGTTCGACTAAACAACTTATGCTAGTAATCTCATCCTAATTCGATTTAAAAATATGACTGTATTTTTGTAATCATATAGAAACAAGTTTATAAATATAAATAATCTTTATTCAAATAAACTTAATATAAGCACTTTTGAATAGTCAAGTTTTTTTTATACTACCGCTTATTCGGAATGCAGATTCATCACAAGAAACTTGTGTGTTGTTCTTTTAAATAAATATTGATTTACTTATATTTAATTTACAACAAGGATTAGGCATGCGACAATCAACATAGAAACCGCTACGCACTTAATCTCTGTTCAATCAGATAACATTGTCAGCGCTATGAATTTTAAGTTAGATTTAAAAAGAATATCATCATCATCATCATCGCAGCCCGGAAGACGTCCACTGCTGGACATAGGCCTCCCCCAAAGATCTAATATATTACTCCCTTATTACCATTATTATTATTAAGTTAGTATAAAAAAAAAACATTTTTTTTAATTTACCTAAACCTATAAAATTTTCACGGTTAACTCTAATTACTATAACATGTGTAATAAACTGTACCAGACAAAGAGACAAAATCGTTACTACATTTTAATATTGTACACGCTTATTGTGTTTTATTATTATTATTTTATTATAATGTGTATAGTTTATGAGTGCGTGCTATGAAAATATACTGAAACGCGAGTTCAATTCGTAGTGGGGTTACCTGCATATATATGTGAGAGGTGACGATCACACTCGCAGTGCGCGCATCACACTTGACGCATCCTAGTGTTGTCACTACACTACACTACACTACACTTAGTGCGAAAACTGGTGAGTACCGCGAGTGTGTGATGTGATAAAGTGATATAGTACAATTGTGCATAATTATTAGATGTGCCCACGACTTTGTCCGCGTAAATTGATCATACTTTCAAATAACATTTCATTCTCTTATAATCCTTTTTTGGGATTAAAAAGTAGCCTATATCCTATCTCAGGTTCTAGACTATCTGTGTATCAAATTTCATTTAAATCGGTTCAGTAGTTTTAGCGTGACAGCGAGACAGACAGAGCCCATGTTCTAACTCAGATTCTAGAGTATTTGTGTACCAAATCATTTAAATCGGTTCAGTAGTATCGCCAAAGCGTTAAAGCGAAACAGACAGACAGACAGAGTTACTTTCTAATGTATGATATTAGTAAGGGTTAATTAATTCTAATAATATGGTTAAATTTATATTATTATTATAATTGCTTTATTCACAAATGTAACAAATCTCATTACACAACAGCACGTCAATAGTAATTACATATATAAGATAATTATGTCACAATTACATTTTAAATATTCAAAATAATGAATTAAATAATATATAACATAGTAATAAAACTCACTTAATGGAAAATGTCATAATTGTACATTGGAATTCAGATATTCCGTCACATTGAAAAAAGGATGTTGCTCGAAATATGATTTTATATATGGATATGAAATTGTAAACTTTTAATTTTGTGGACTGGTTGTATTATTTGTGTTTTATCTTCACGCCATGTCCCTTATGGGGTATATAGAATTGTATATCTTATATAATTATATCTGAATAGTTAATTTAATATAACACGAGAGAAAGTAGTAAAAAATATATTTAACATTCAAAGTCAAGACTTCTATACATATAAATAAAATTGGAGTGTCTGTTTGTAATATTGAAATTACCGTTTTTTACTACATGCATTTGAATATAAATACGGTACATATACCAACATATATTTTTTTACAATTTTTGTCTGTCTGTTTGTTTGTTCCGGCACTCTGAAACAGCTGGACCGATTTTGACGGTACTTTTTTTGACATATAGCTGATGTAATAAGGAGTAACTTAGGCTACTTTGATTTCAGAAAAAATCTTTCATATCAGAAAATTAAATTAAATTCCACGCGGACGAAGTCGCGGGAACAGCTTGCTATAAATATTATTACCCATATCATGGATAAAATAGAAAAAAAACATTTTTCAAAACTAGAATCTTGAATTACCTCCTTTTATATAAGTCAATTAAATTAACCACGCCGTCTTAATCATTATCTGAATACATTTAAAATGATATACAATACTTCTGTAAATTTAAAACTTTAAAGGGAAAAATAATTTAAATAAATTAAAAAAAAAACGTTAAATTCTCGACTTGTAAAAAATTTACATTTTGAATTGTGACATTTTTCTATTTAACTGACAATATGTATATTTGAAATAAATTAAAAACTAGATCAAAAAATTAATAACAATTAATTTGTTTAAATCTAAATATATATAACTCAAAGGTGATTACTGGTGACTTAATATTTATCTACACTAGCGACTCGTCCCGGCTTCACATGGATGCATTATAAATCTTTGAATTTCTCGGCTTGTTCTATACTATAACGCGTATGTATCTAAATATATATAACTCAAAGGTGACTCACTGACGTCGTGATCTATCAACGCATATCCCAAACCACTGGACGGATCGGGCTGAAATTTGGCATGCGGATAGATGTTATGACGTAGGCATCCGCTAAGAAAGGATTTTGATTAATCCTACCCCCAAGGGGATAAAATAGGGGATGAAAGTTTGTATGAAACTTTGTCAATTTTAAACCGATCGGGCTGAGACTTTACATGCCTAAAGCTACTATGACTTAGGCATCCCTTGAGAAAGGATTTTGATAAATTCCACCCCTAAGGGGATAAATTAACGCGAGTGAAGCAGCGGGCAAAAGCTAATTGGCAAATAAAACCTATGTACTTATTATGATGAATTGTCATATTATGACATTCATAATTCATGACGAAAAGTCTGTATAAGCTTTTCACAATTAAACGGCTGAACAAATTTTCATAAAATTACACATGATCATAGATTAACACGAGGATATCTATATTTTATTAAAGAAAAACAATCGTGATAGCCAGTAATATAATATTAACATATTATATAAGTCATAGAGATGTTTACAACTTCATAATCATTGTATAGTATAAAACAAAGTCGCTGTCGCTGTCTGTCCCTATGTATGCTTAAATCTTTAAAACTACGCAACGGATTATGAAGCGGTTTTTTAATAAATGGGTTGATTCAAAAGGAAGTTTTATATGTGGAATACATGTACACTCGGGCGAAGCCGCGGCGATTAGCTAGTTTAGTATAAAACAAAGTCGCTGTCGCTGTCTGTCCCTATGTGTGCTTAAAATCTTTAAAACTAAATTTTTAATAGATAGAGTGATTCAAGAGGAAGGTTTATATATACATGTACATCCGGGCGCAACCGGGGCGAGTAGCTAGTATATAATAATTTGATGAATTTAAAAAAAATGCATTAAAATTCCAACATCTAATTTAAATTATATATTATAGGATCTGTCGCCCTCTTCTGAACGAAATATTTTGCCAGAGAGCTATGTATTTTTTACTACTTTGTATGATATAATCATACAAACTTCATACTTCTTATTTATAATGAATTAATATATGAATCTATATAAAATATCGATATTTTATAATTGCGAAACTCTGTCCGTCTGTCTGTTTTGCTTTCACGCCAAAACTACTGAACCGATTTAAATGAAATTTGGTACGCAGATAGTCTAGACCCTGAGATAGGATACAGGAATACTTTTTAAAAGGAAAAAGGATTGTAATGGGTTGAAAGTGAAGATGAAATTTGTATGGAAATATGGTCATTTTTTAATCTAGTACAATGAAATTATTTTTCTTTGTTTGGTCAAGGTCACAATTACACGCGGACGAAGTCACAGTCACAGCTAGTATATATCACTGCTATATAATTTCAATACATATATATAAGATATATATATATACAGAAATTAGTGCTGGTTGGTAGTTTGTATTCACACGTTTCGAATTGTAAAATGTGAACTTACAAGGATTGTTTAAAAGTTTCTTGCTCGTTCTTCTCGTGATGAGACAGTTTCCCGAATGAGCGGTAGATAAAAAAAATTGTTACGACTATTCAAAAGTGCTTAAATTAAGTTTATTTGAATAAATGATTTTCTATTCTATTCTATTCTATTGTGCGAACCAGAAATTATCTGATTATATATATTTATTCACAGAATCCCGCTGCCGAGCAAGATGGTGCAAATAAAGGCAATGGTACGTACCTATATACAATTAATTACGTACATACATACATGTTAATATATAATATATACATATAGGAACTACATATGACATTTATGAGAGTTAAAAAAAATACTGCCAAGTTCAAGTTCACAGTCAAAGTCGGTTAATATGTACATCAAGGTAGGACAGACGTTTCTTTTTTATTAGATTTTTTTAATTATTATAATACTAGCTGTTCACGCGAGTTCGTCCGCGTGGAATTTAACTTCTAAAATAAGGGTAGCCTAAGTTACTCCTTCACAAATAAAGAATTTGAATTTGAATTTGTAAAGTTAAATCTGCTACATAATATTTGCATCAGTTTTAGTAAAACATTTCAAACACAAACTTGTTGTACCCGCGACTATGTCCGCGTGGACTATAACTTTATTTTTCTAAACTAAAAGTAGTATAAGTTACTCCTTATTACATCTGCTACCTGCGAATAAAAGTCCCGTCAAAATCGGTCCAGCCATTTCAGAGATTAGCCGGAACAAACAGACAGAGAAAAATTGTAAAAAATGTTATTTTGGTCTATGTACCGTATTTATATTTATATGCATGTAGTAAAAAACGGTTATTTCAAAATTACAAACAGACACTCCAATTTTATTTATATGTATAGGTATACTGATATATCCATACATCTGGGGTAGTTGTAAATCGGCGGAAGTTGATATATACGACTAGTAAATATTATATGAGTTATCGACCAAACTTCCGAGAGGCCGATACCTCTTTTGGTTTCTCTATTATTACTAATATTGATAAATATATCACTTGTTTCATAATAATCATTACATAGTATAAAACAAAGTCGCTGTCACTGTCTGTCCCTATGTACGCTTAAATCTTTAAAACTACGCAACGGATTTTGAAGCGGTTTTGTTAATAGATAGAGTCATTCAAGAGGAAGGTTTGGTAAGTTACATATGTACATGTCATATGAATGTGGATGGTTATAATGGCAGAGGAAGGCGAAAAAGAGATGGATGGACTGTGTGAAAGATGATATGGTAAGAAAGGGAGTGAACAACTCCCTTAGTGATCGTCTGTGATGATTAATGCGTAGAAATGAAGTTAATATTTTAAATAAGGTGTTACATATGAATGTAGATGGTTATAAGAATAGAGAAAAACCCAAAAAGAGATGGATGGACTGTGTAAAAGATGATATGGTAAGAAAGGGAGTGAATAACTCCCTTAGTGATCGTCTGTGATGATTAATGCGTAGAAATGAAGTTAATATTTTAAATAAGGTGTTACATATGAATGTAGATGGTTATAAGAATAGAGAAAAACCCAAAAAGAGATGGATGGACTGTGTAAAAGATGATATGGTCCCAAGAAACCGTTCGAGCTGAATAAAGCGCAAATGAAAATGTCTGTGATGATTAATGCGTAGAAATGAAGTTAATATTTTAAATAAGGTGTTACATATGAATGTAGATGGTTATAAAAATAAGATAAAAACCGTAAAACTGCTAGATGGATGGATGTGTAAAAGATTATAGTTTATGTAGAAATAGAAATGAATAACTAACAAACTGATTTTAGTGATGTCTGTAATGATTAATTCGTTTAAAAATGAAGTTAATATTTTAAATACCAGAGTCTGTTATAAATCTATGAATGTAGATAGTTATAAGAATAGAGAAAAACCCAAATAAAGATGATGGACTGTTAAAAGATAATGTTTTTAAGAAAAACTTAAAATCCATAGTGACAATATTATGATTAACTAATAATGAGTGCGTAATATTTTAAATAAGGTGTTACATATGAATGTAGATGGTTATAAGAATAGAGAAAACCCCAAAAAGAGATGGATGGACTGTGTTAAAGATGATATGGTATGAAATGGAGTAAATAACAAGATGACTGCGAACAGGGATGAATGGAAGCGAAAAACATTACGACGACCACAAATAAATGGGATAAGGAAGAAGCAGATGATAAAATAGATCCTAAAAACAAACTACTTTAGAATTCGCTTGCAGATCCACTATTTAACTTAGTTAAACGAACTCGTCCCACGCGAAAACCGTTCGAGCTGAATGCAAAAGCGCAAATGAAAATGTTATAGTAACTCGTTTTAACTGCAGTACGGACCGACAAACGTTTTAAAATTTAACATAAAATTAAATTTTAAAATGTACCGTACACAAAAACCGTAACCATAAACAGATTCCGTAAAACTGCTACACGTTACGTGCATGTGTTATGGAATCATAATTTACTAGTTTATGTAGAAATAGGAATAGAAATTCTTAAATAACAAACTGATTTTACCTAAATGTCGTTTAACTAAAGTTAGTAATTTGTTTTATGGCAATTGCGTAAAGTTTTACAACAAAATACCAGAGTCTGTTATCAATCTGCCAGAAAAAGATTTAAATGTCAAATAAAACAGTTCCTTTGCAAAAAAGCTTACTATAAAATTGAAGAATTCGTTAACGACAATAATGTTTTTATAGAAAAACTTAAAATCCATAGCACTGACAATATTATCTGATTACACTAATAATGAGTGCGTAACGATTTCTATGTTGATTATCGCATGACTCTTCCTTGTTATAATGTAATTATTTATATAAAAAACATTTATTAAAAAGAGCGACACACAAGTTTCTTGCTCATTCTTCTTGTGATGAATCTGTATATATATATATGAGTGGTAGAATCGCGTAAAATATGACTATTCAAAAGTAAAAAATATATATTTATTTGAATAAAGATTATTTCTATTTCTATTTCATGAAATGATAGAATTAATTCGATGTTCCAAACTAGTGGGAAAGTTCAATCATAATAATAATAATAATAATCTCAGGACAATTCACACAGCGCCATCTAGACCCAAGTTAAGCTAGCTAAAGCTTGTGTTATGGGTACTAGACAACTGATACAAATAGGTAAATAAATAAACTAGTTACTGGCCCTGGCTTCGCACGGATGTACATGATATTTTCTCAACAGCCTAAATTATGGAATCAGTTTCTATCTATTAAAAAAAAAACCGCTCCAGAATCCTTTTGTTGCAACCCATTTTTTAAAGATTTAAGCATACATACATAGGGACGGACAGACAGCGACAGCGACTTTATTTTATATTATGCAATTATAAGCTTGGACAATTAACACAGCGCCGTCTAGTCTTTAACGTGAATAAAATTTTTATCTATCTATCTATCTATCTATCTATTGACAATGTGATATTTACAAATTTAAATGTCATATTGATTTATAAATACAGTTTAAACATTTATTTTTTAAATACATGGTGGTAGTTGGCCAATAACATAATAAAATTTTGTTAAATCAAAATAATAGATGATACTTCTAAATTGCAAACTATCCCTCTACCGCGCGAACTATATCTCTGACTCCTGGCAGAATGGAGAAACGCGTATTCCGAACCTGAATAGCTCGGATGGAACGGTAGATGTTGTTTCTTCCAAGGAAATGTTGTTCATATGTATTGACAACATTTTTAATATTATATTCGTTTTATTTTCAAAAATATTAATAATGGGTTCTTACGCTCTTGTCCAAGAGCAGGGTCATGTTATTATACCAGGATTATATTTATGTATTTATAAAATAAAATTGCAGAGCAAACGTTTATTCATTTATCTCTTAAGGAGTGAAATGTGTCAATAATCAGTTTTCTTACAAATGACATATATGTTTATTTATGACATATGAGCGTTAATAAGTCGCATATCTAGTACAATACTGGTGTAATTCAGAAATTAAAAATTTTTGAAAATAGTTTCATAACACAATTATTATCCAAAATATCTAATTTTTTTTTAAGCCATTATTATAATAAGTGTGTATTCAACCGCATAAAGATAACCTTGCATTACCATTTTCAACCCCTTACAACCCTTTTTTCGCATTAAAAAGTAGCCTATGTCCTTCCTCGGCGTCTTGACAATCTGTGTACGAAATTTCATTTAAATCAGTTCAGTAGTTTTGGGTTGAAAGCGTTGACAGACAGACAGACAGACAGACCTTTGCATTTATATATATATATATATTTAGATTCTATAATAACTTCCTCATTAGCTGGTGACATCCGTAAACAAACGGTCACCACTCACCGTCGACCAGTTTTACGCTCAGGTCACCATCCACCTTATGAACAGTACGATCTGTCCGCTGTCTCCCCACGCCGCATACTGCACACAGCATCATTCGTATCAGGGTTGTCAATTAAAAGAAAATAAAATCAATGAAATCAAAATATCTTTATTCATGTAGATCTATTACAGACTCTTATGATATGCCAAATCTACTGTCAACTCGGAGTGTTTTCAAGATGACAAGAAACTCAGCTCGTCAATGTACAATCCTCGTATATGTACGAGATTTTTTATCTTCACTACAAAATACACATTTATACTAATAGAAATTTATAAGAAGTAATAATAATAATAATATAAATAAATACTATTGGCTAATTGGGATAGGACAATTTTATATGACAAGTAACATGTAAAATTACACCGTTAATCTTCCTAAATAAAAAATAAAAAAAAAAAAAAAAAAAAAAAAAAAAAAAAAAAAAAAAAAAAAAAAAAATTAAAAAAAAAAAAAAAAAAAAAATTTTTACTAATACCAATTATATAAGAATCTAGCTGACCAGCGCAAATTTGTCTGCATCACAAAATGCGACAGAATGCGCAAAACTAGTCGCAACATACTGGGGAAAATACATTTGCAACTAAATGTATTTTCCCATTGAAACTAATGAAGAAAATGACTTCAATCGTATTATAATGTTGTGGCAATACAATATAATATTTCTGTACTATAAACATTGTATATATAATTGAATGTAGTTTTCTATATAATTGATAAGTTAAAAATATTTGACCGATTTCAAAATTCATTGTAATCTATTCAAAAGAGCAACACGAGTTTCTTGTTCATTCTTGTGATGAATTTCGAATAAAAAATGTGACAATTCAAAAGTGCTTGTA